ATCCATCCATCTATTCATTCATCCATCCATCTATTCATTCATCCATCCATCTATTCATTCATCCATCCATCCATCTATTCATTCACCCATCCATCTATTCATTTATCCATCCATCTATTCATTCATCCATCCATCTATTCATTCATCCATCCATCCATCCATCTATTCATTCATCCATCCATCTATTCATCTATCCGTCTTTTCAACCATCCATCCATCCATCCATCCATTGTTTCATCCATCTATTCATGCTTTAAACCATCCATCTATCTATTCATCCATCCATCAATCTTTCCATCCATCCGTCCATCCAGCTATTCATCCATCCATCTATTCTTCCACCCATCCATCTTTTCAACCATCCATCCATCTATTCATTTCATCCATCTATTCATCTTTTAAACCATCCATCTATCTGTTCATCCATCCATCGATCTTTCCATCCATCCATGTATTCATCCATCCATCCATCTATTCATCTATCCATCAATCTTTCCATCCATCTGTCCTTCCAGCTATTCACTATTCATCCATCCATCCATACATCCATATTTTCAACCATCCATCCACCTATTCATCCATCTAGCTATTCATCCATCCATCCATATTTTCAACCATCCATCCATTTATTCATTCATCCATTCACTTATTCATCCACCCACGTATTCATCCATCCATCATCCATCCATCCGTCAGTAGTTAACTAATATATTTGCATCTATCCATCTATTTATCTATCCTTCTTTTCAACCATCCATCCATCCATCTATTCATCCATCTAGCTATTCATCCATCCATCCATCCACTCAGTAGTAACTAATATATTTGTATATATATAATATATATAATATATTAATGTTTAGTTCTTTCGTTTTCTCATCCCTGTGTCCTGTTCTTTATTTCTCCCTCAGAGTGAATACATTGCGCCGCGTGATTCCAGATTGACCTTCATGACTGGTTTTACAGGATCTGCTGGTACAGTCGTCTGGCTCTGCTCCTTCACGATCCTTTTCTCTCCGCTTCCTTCCCACCTTCTTCTCAGTTCTCTTATTTTCTCTTCTTTTTTTCTTCTATGCCTTCTCGCCCTTTCTGTAATTATTTCTGCTTTTAAAAGGGAGCTTTAGGCTTCAATACGGCTAGTTCTATTAATTTCTTGGTGGTGATAGACAGTGAGAAAAATGATCCTTATCAGTTTTTGTAGCAGGGGTCAATCATACGGCCCGTGGACCACACTTGGCCCACTAGGCGGATCAATCCGGGCCGCTTGATGAATTTTTAAAGTACAAAAAATGTACAAACACTTCATGTATATATTTTTTCAAATGATATTTCATTAAATATAAGTATTGCCCAATATACTTGTAAATAAAAACAAAGGGGAAAATATGGACTTATTGTTCTTTATACGTAATTATGTCATGCTAGTACTGGTCCGACCCACTTGACATCTAATTAGGTTGTATTTTGCCCTGAACTAAAATGAGTTTGACACCCCTGGTCTAAAGGTTATAGCTGGATTATAACTCTATAAACTCGGCCTGATATTTAGGATCTGGTGGAACATTAACTTCTAAATTCCAGATGAGGGATGAACAAAGATAAGGTTTGTCCATATGAGTGGCACAACCATTTGAATTCCTGTCTATTCCCTGTTGACGTCTACAGTTTCTTCTCTTTCTGCTGTTATTTATATTTCCACAGCTGTGCTCTTACGTGTCCTTCGTGTTCTTCACTCTAGGAACTGCTGTAGTGACTCGGTCCAAGGCTGCTCTCTGGACTGACAGCAGGTACTGGCTCCAGGCCGAGAGACAGCTGGACTGTAACTGGGAGCTGCAGCAGAGCTGTGGGTTTGTCGTGACAACGCCGGTCTGATATTCAAGTCTCAACAATCTGGGCCCGAAATATCCTGACAAATGCTGCAGAGATTTCTGAAATAGCCCAAAGGGTAAAGCGATCGTACTGTAAAACAAACCTGACATATGACGCTGAAGGTCAAACATTAGGTTTTATTAATGGCAATTTGTAAATTCCTAAGCAAAAGTATTTGTAAAACTTAATCCAATCGTCCCAGGATGATTAATGGTTGGAACCAGCCCACTGATCGATTAGCTTAAATGCTAAAATGCTTTATCAACATTTTCTACTCTATCTATTAGGGAAACATTGGTATTGCAAATTTTTAAGGAAAATGCAGAAGTATAATGATACTATAAATAAATTATATAATTTGGAAGAGTTTGGCAGACCGGATTAAAAAGCTGAATGAAGTTTGCCCATGCCTAGTTCCGACTAAACGATCATTTGAATATTCATAATGACAATTATGTAAGTACCGTATTTTCCAGACTCCAGAGTATTAGTCGCACCAGTGCCCTCTAGTGGCTCTCAGTGTGAAAATAACAAACATGTAAATTTTCAGTGGTACAGGAGTAGCAGATACTGGTACACAAGCCTAGAATGCCCTCTAGTGGCTGTCAGTGTTAAAATAACAATCATGAAATTATATGTTTATAATATACAAGTCGCACCTGAGTATAAGTCGCAAAAAAAAAATGCGGTAATTTTTTTTTTTTATTAACATGAATAGTCCGGTTATTTACGGGGCACAGATTGTTGACTTTATTTGATTTGTTGACGTATTATACATGTTACATTGACGTACCGTAATAATCATAATGGTGTGGTTTTCAGACTCTGTCGGAAATATTGCTGAATGGCTCATTGCGCAGGTTCCATTAGGCGAAGTCATCGGCTTTGACCCCTTCCTCTTTTCTCTCCGTGAGTGAGGCTGATGCCTGAATTTACTTATTTTACTGCAGGATTTTTAATTTTTCATAGAATAAAATGTAAAATATTATGTACAGTATTCACTCCCATTATTTAAATAGCTTTTTTTTTAAATTACCTTTACCTTCCACCCCATTAACCTGGCCCTCATGCAGCGGTCGGATGTAACATGTGGAGCCTCATGTACTGTCAGCGTTGTTATCTGGATTTATTTCGTGGTCTATTGGTGTTTAATCATCTGTGATTTCCTCGCACAGAGACGCAGGAGAATTACATGCTTAACCTGATGTCCAGCAATCGCAGTCTTGCGCCCGTCTCTGAGAACCTTGTTGACCAAGTGTGGAAGGACAGACCTGCAGTGTCTCCAGAGAACCTAATCAGACTCCCAGACAGAGTCATCCGTGAGTTTGATCTGCTTTATCGCCGATGATAAATAAATACCTGCAGACACAGAGACAGGGAGTCCGTAAACGAACGAACGACACCGTCATAAAGATCTGTCCGGAGATAAGGGGCAGGTCAGAATCGACATCATTAGTCTTTATGGCCACATAAAAAGAGAAGGAGACGGCGCGAAGCTGATGATCTGTGTGTGTGCGTGTGTGTGTGTGATAAAGCAGTAAAAGCTCCGAGTAAATGAGGATTTTCATCAGTTCGGTCAACTGTGGTTTATGAATGAATCACAAACATCATTAATGTCAAAGAAAAGGAAAATAATTTCCAAGACCTGAACTTGACTGCAGGACTGAAATTCATGTACAACCGGAAGCTAAGCGCAGCTGTTCAATAAGCACACCAAATGACATGGATTTTATTATGTAAACACTTGGCAGATGTCATATACAGTGGAACCGTAGAGATACGAGCATAATCTGTTCCACGACTGAGCTCGTAACTAAAAGACGTGTTTTTAATTGCTATAGAGACAAACACACAAATAAAATTATAGTGTATTTATATAAGGAATCCTGAGATATAAAATAAACTGTGGTTTTAATACCTACGTAATACGTACCTTAAATGTACACTACGTAACTTACATAAATGTAGAATTAATTTAGCTTACTTTTTTACTTTTCTATTTTTATTTTTTTGCTTTTTTCGATTTTTTTATTCTTTCTTTAGCGGGCACCACGCTCATATTTATCAACAATTTCATGCTTTATTTCCATGGTCATCGTGCGTTTCTTCTTCTCACCACCATCCTTACCACTCACCTTCTTAGGACTCATCACTGTTATGAAGAATAATGCACAAAATGTAGAGGGAAAATTACGTAAATAACGCAAACGCAATACGGAAGACTAGCTGGGATAATAGATAAAAAAAATAAAGTCCATTAATCACACAAAATCACGCTTTTAATCTTGATGAATAATTTGAAGTGTCGCCCGGCAATAATATTTACATATATAATGTATGCCAAGGAGAAAAAAAAATAATGTATGTTAATTTATTTATTTTTTGTTTGTTTGTTTGGCTTTGGTTAGTGCGGTCCTGGCAGACAAAAGTGGAGCTGATACGGAGTCAGATGCGGGACAATCCCTACAAGCCCACAGCTCTACTGCTTTCAGCTCTGGATGAAACAGCCTGTGAGTAAAACGTTTAGTTCTGGTACTGAAGAAAAATCACAGGTGACTTTGAAATTGACCTGACATCTGAAATATTTGTTAGTCCTTTTGATTCACTTTGATGAAAAATAAATTCAACAAACGTGTTTGCATATCAAAAGGGGTTTAAACTGTTTAATGTCATATACAAAATACTTGTAGTAGTTATGGATTTCCTTTTTTTTCCACAAAATATTTTAGAATACCAGATTGCTATTATCAATGAGAGTTTGAACAACTTAAACATATAGAAATACATCTGATAATATAAATAACAGAGCAATAAATGAGGTATTCATTTTATTTTAATTTAATTTAATGTGTTTAAATTAAATTGTATGTTTGATATTTATATTATTTGTGATGCGGGGGGTTTCAGGGCTGTTTAACCTTCGTGGAAACGACATTCCATATAATCCTTTCTTCTACTCCTACACTCTGCTGACTCTGGACCAGATCTGGTCAGTCTGTTTCTCAGAGATACAAAAAAAAAAAAAATTTTTGTCATGTACAGTATAACGTTGTATAAGTTTACTGAATTAACTCCGGTACATTTGTCTTTGCTCAGGCTTTTTGTTCACACTCACAGAGTCACGGAGGAGCTGAGGCGGTACCTGAACGCCTCCTGTGTGGACTCCCTCTGTGTGCAGCTGAAAAGCTATGACTCCGTCAGCGAAAACATAGAGAGCTATGTGTCCCAGATCGGAGTTAAAGTTTGGATTGGTACAGAATATACCAACTACGCTCTGTACCAGCTCATCACTCCACAGGTGTGAAGGGTGACGTCACGGTGTCCTGAATCTTTGGCCCTCACCGATCTTTCGGCCCTTGTTTTTATTTTGGTAGTTAAGTATTGTTGTTGTTCTTTTGTCCAATGAAGGACAAATTATTGACCAGCTCCTATTCACCTGTGTTGATGACCAAGGCTGTTAAAGACGAGACCGAGCAAAGAATCCTGAGAGAAGCACATGTATGAAACCACCACACACACAAATGTTTTAAAATGTTTTTTTTTTTTAAACATCCAAAAATGGTTTGTGTTTGTGCTCAGGTGAGGGATGCAGTAGCAGTGATGCAACTGCTGTTGTGGTTGGAAAAATCTGTTCCTGGAGGAAAGGAAACTGAACTGACGGCTGCTAACTACGTCAACACTTGTCGCAGGTGGGTTTCTAAGTAGGATACAGGAAGTGACTTGGACCATTTTTCCAACTATAAATCTCAGTGTCTGCCAAATGATAATGAAATACACTTCGTATACTGACCGACACGACGCCCCCAAACCCCAGTACTAGGTATGGTAAAGACTGATTTCAATCATTCTATTTTCTGCTTTGCAAAGCATCCACTGCAATTTTAGATAATGCCACTAGATGGCGGCAGACACCGTTTTTGCTGGAGAATTTCCGGTTTTAGAAGCCTGCAGGTTCCCGCCCCATGCAAAGAATTTTATTATTAAAATAATATTATTTTATTATTCGTAACTACGTAACTACTATAGCGGTCATTTTTACAACACATATATTATTTCCATAATATTTAAAGAATTAATTATAATTAATGTGAGTAGTACATTTCCTGTTTGAAGTAGTACACTTCTGAAACTGTCTTAAAGCAGGAAGTTAGCAACCTTAACCTGGAAGTGTTTTCTTCCCTACTAAACAAGTAGACAAGTTGTTCACTTTCCTTTCTTTCCGCATAAGGAATGGTGTAGAATTGAGATTTGTTTATTTTGTTGTTGTTGTTGTTTTTTTTTATAATTCCCAATATCTTTTCTCTAAGCAAACAAAATGACAACAGAGGCCCCAGCTTTGAAACCATCTCAGCCAGTGGACCAAATGCAGCTCTGGCACACTACAGGTCAGTTCATATAAGTGTACAAACAATGTATATAAATTGCATATATAAGTCGCTCGGACTATAAATCGCTCTGGAGTATAAGTTGCACCAGCCAGAGTGCCCTCTAGCGGCTGTTAGTGTGAAAATAACAAACCTGTGAATTTCCATTGGCACAGGAATAGCAGATACGGGTACACAAGCCTAGAGTGTCAACGTGCATATACTGTATATATAAAGGATGAAAAAAAGTGTGACTTCCAGAAATTACGCTATTAAGCTTCTACCACTGTGGTTTTATAGTCTAGTGGTTATTACACCTGCCTTACATTTAGAGGGTCCTTTGCAGACATTTCTTTATCTCAGGTCTGATTGTAAATGATTGATGGTTTGATGACTTGGTTCAGTTTCTCTTTCTAAACTTAAGTTTAGCTGTATGTAAAATAACAACAAACAAACAAAAAATACTGTCTCATTTCAGCCCAACAAATGAGACAGATAGGAAACTGACACCAACAGAGATGTTCCTACTGGATTCTGGAGGACAATATCTGTGAGTTTACCTGAGTAATTATTCTGATTCTGTACAGTTTCAGTTGACGTTGCTTTAGTTTATTGAAAATCCTGAAGTGTGTCACCGTTTCTGTCAGGGACGGAACCACTGACATCACACGTACTGTTCACTGGGGAGTCCCCACTGCCCTCCAGAAGGTTAAAAACTGGATTTCTGTGTTTTATCTTTTCCATATAAAATCTGTAGTGTTCTTACAGTTGCAAGTTAGTAAGGTTGAGTATTTTTCAGACAATTAAAAATTTAATAAGTTAAGTCTCCTATCCATCTCCAATGCCAACAGGAAGCCTTCACCAGAGTGTTGATGGGAAACATTGAGATTTCAAGGACCGTTTTTCCTACAAGAACCAGAGGTGAGAATAATGAATATTTACCATATTTCCGGACCTTAAGTTGCACTTTTTCATCCTTTGGCTGGGTTTGCGACTCATACTCAGGTGGGACTTATATATTAAAATATATAATTTCATGTTGATTATTTTCACACTGACTGCCTCTAGAGGGCACTCTAGGCTCGTGTACCAGTATCTGCTACTCCTGTACCACTGAAAATTTACATGTTTGTTGTTTTCACACTGACATGCACTAGAGGGCACTAGAGTGACTAATACTCTGGAGCAACTTATATATATTTTTTTATTATTATTATGCATTTTTTGACTGATGCAACTTATACTACAGAATGATTTATAGTCCAGAAAAAAAGGTATGTGTGTGAGCAAAAAACATTGTGTCAGTAGTACATGACTTTCTTTTTCACAGGTGTGAACATAGAGATGTTGGGCCGCAGGGCATTGTGGGAAGTGGGCCTGAATTATGGCCACGGCACAGGTCATGGTGTTGGAAACTACTTTGGTGTTCATGAGTGTGAGTATAATTTTAGTGGTTTCATTCTTTAAAACTACATTAAATTATTTAGGTTTTCCATCAGAGTAAAAATAAAAAAATAATAATAAATAATAAAAATAAATTTAACTTTTGCTGTAAAGGGTTTTCAGGTTAGTGTGTGTTGATATTTTTGTTCAGGGCCAGTTGGTTTTCAAAGCAACAACATTCCATTCACTGCAGGAATGTTTACATCCATAGGTGAGAAGAGAAGGTAAATCATGTGTGATAGGGAACATTTTTGGTAAAATTCTTTTTAAAAAAATCTTTTTTTTTTCTCATTCAGAACCTGGATATTACAAAGAAAATGACTTTGGGATCCGAATTGAAGATGTTGCTGTGATTGTTCCCTATCAAACACAGGTGACATCATCTGCTGATCCGATGACATCATCACCCCATGCTGTGACATCCTAACTTTGTGATAAATCTCTTTTTTTCCCCCATGTCTGTTCCTCTTAGTATGGTAACCACTTCCTGACCTTTGACACGGTGTCACTGGTTCCGTACGACAGAAAACTGATTGACGTATCGCTGCTGAGCGCTGAACAGGTCAGTTCAATGGACATTTAAATCACAACAACAAGGAAGAAGCTAAACATTAACTAGGAATGAACTAACAGCATATTATCTAGAAGAACTGGTGTTTAGACATGTATGTTCGGTGCTTAGATTGAGAAGTGTGTGTTTGGATGTAAATATCTGAATTCTAATGATGTTAAAAAAAGTTTTTAAAATTTTCATCTTATTATTCATAAGGTAGCTGTGAAATAATCAAATCACATCATGGTTGTAATTAATCATGATTAATTGTGGTTGTAATTCAAGGTGAACTGTATTGCCGATGTAGCCCCATGGTGAAAATTCGTTCGACAAACCTGATCTAGTGAATCACTATTTCTAAACATGACAAAAACGTTTTTCTGTATATTTCTGGAAATGAAAGCCATATAACAGCAGGTGCATGGAATTTATAATATGGAGAAATATCAAGAAAAATATGCAAATATAATACTAAAAACTTGGCTTCACAGAATTGGTAGATTTGAGTCATTACTGTACTTTCTAATGGAGGCTTGTAAAAAGTCTTCAGAGTGGCTTTCAAACTTTCATGAAGATGTATTTTCCGGACTATTAGTCACACTTATTTCATCCTTTGGCTAGGTTTGCAACTTATATTCAGACTTATATATTAAAATATACAATTTCACGTTTGTTATTCTCACACTGACAGCCACAAGGGGGCACTGGTGCGACATATACTCCGGATCGACTTATAATTTTCCGGACTATTAGTCACACTTATTAAGACCCACCGCAATATCAGTGATCCCTCTCCTATAGCGGTAGTTACGTTCCAAGACCCACCGCAATAGTTCAGTTATTTCCCATATTTAAAAGATAGTTATTTTCACACTGACAACCACTTGAGGGCACTCTAGCTGTCTGATGCAACTTATACTCTGGAGCGATTTATATGTTTTTTCTTCTTTATTATGCTTTTTTTTTTTTCTTCAGTCCAGTTCTATTAAAATCTGTCTTTGGTGTCCCTGCAGATCCAATGGTTGAACAATTACTACCAGAAAATTCGTACAGTGGTGGGACCAGAGTTGGACAAACAGGGACTGAGTGAAGAAAATGAGTGGATGCTGAGGAACACAGAACCTTTTCCTGCACCCGGATCATCTTCCTCCAACTGTTCCTCCTCACTGACGCTCCTCCTTCTGGCCCTCGCCTTCACATTGCACCACAGCAGAATCATCTGAGAAGATTTACTCCAAACCATCTACAGACCCTCACCTCAATGATCACATGCCAGAATCTTCATCATCTATCCATATAAATGCCTTCTGTTTGCCTGTGTATACAGTATGTTTGTGTGTGTGTGTGTGTGTGTCCTAATTGTGTAAATTCTTGTACACTCAATGGTCCTCAGACTCACTTGTTGACTCTGTTTCTCTCCAAAAAAAACCCTTTAAAGGTGTTTCACTTTATTTATTTATTCATAAAAATCAAAAGTAGGTTTATTAAACATTATACAGTTTCATTTATATCCTTCTTTTTTTATATATATATATATATCTGTGATCTTCTGGCTGTAAGAGTACAGTATACAGTACTAACCTAAGACAGTGGTTCTCAATTGTTTTGTCCCCCCCTATGGGACAGAAATATATATTCATATTCATGCCGCCTCCCCCTGAATTGAAATACTATTGAGAACCTGATAATATGTACCCTTATTTCCGGACTATTGAGTGCACCTAAATATTAGCCGCACCCACTAAATATAAAAAGAAAATAAATAATTAAACATATATAGGCCGCACTTCTCTATAAGCTACGCAACATGGGATATTTACACAGAAAGAAGTTACACACAGAAATATATTTTTCTTTACAATAATGTGCGCTCCTGCGCTGTGCCCGGCTTTTATATACGGTCCGTCCGTCAATTCCGCTCACCTCCGTCCGGGGCTGCACCTGCGTCGCCTCTCCCGTGCTCTTCCTCCTGCAGCTGAGGGCTAACCTCCGCCGCGCCCCATGGTAGCGTATTTACGTAATGCGTTTGTCTTATATGTCCATTATGCAACTCTACTGTGCATATAATTGTGTGATAAAGGGTAATACAGTCTAGAGAGGGTTGATAACAATGTGGGGGTGGTTCATGAAGGGTAAATATATACGTATATAATATAATAACTATCTCAAATACTGCGATAAGAGAGGGACAACTGTAAATACTTTTTCGAACAGTGCCTTTAACACGGCTGGTTACATGTCACACGTACATATTAGCTCTTTCCTGCTTCCGCGCCCTGACCGTAGTTAAAATGGACAGGGGAAACTTGGTGAGGTCCGAAGCTAACATTAGCTCCGCTGCTAACTCTCTTCACTTTGCGCTTGTCCACAGCAGAGATAAACAGAAACAGGGAAGTCGGGGTCTTTATTATCAGCCACCCTGAGCACAATACATAAATAGTGTTTTAACAGCTCCTGTATAACCAACTCACACTGGTTGAGGGCTCAAACTGCTAGCAACAATAGCTAACGTTCTATCTCGCCCCACGCACATATACGCACACAGCCATTCACAGACAGACATACGCTACTAGTATAACACACAGTAGCCTACCAGAAAAGTCATTGGTCGCTAGCGGTATGAACTTCGTTAGCCTGTAAAAACCCATAAATTAGCTGCAGGGTTCAAAGCGTGTGAAAACAGAAGTGGCTTGTAGTCTTATCTGTACAAAGTTGCTTCCAGCCAGTGACTTGTTTATCGTTCAAGGATTACAGAAGTAGCACACTTCTGTCCAGCATGCCATATTCTATTGGAAGCCTCTTATGCCCAAACTGAGTTATTAATACTTTTTAAAAAAAACTCAAAGTAAATAACAGTCAGTCAGTTCAGTCATGTTTTGTGTGTACCTGTGTGAGTGTGTGGAAGTGAAAACACTGACAAGTAACAGATTTAGAAAGTGACAGTTTGGCAGCTGCAGCAGCTTCACATCAGATATCAGATGTCGCTGCTCAAAAACAGAGCCAAAGTCTAAGACCAACTGACATGGGGGGAAAAAAAAAACCCAATGTCTTTTGTATATATACAATTGTATATAATAAAGATGGACCGGATTGTTAGCTCCATCTAACGTCATTCCTACAGGTCAATGTTTACCTTCAATTATACTGTTAAAACCAATCATCATAGTGACACAGTGTGAGGAAACATCTTTGTGTATTCACGCACGCACACGCGCACAAGTATATGTGTGTGTATGAGCTTGGGACTTCCTCTCTAATCTGACTTTACTTCAGCTCACTCTTCCTGTAACAGAAACTGTAGACACAACCCCCAGATTGAGAGGATACAAACCTGTCTCCTCTTGTTTTCTTAACAGGATCTAAGGAGCGGTAAGGAGCAGACAGAGAAGCAGGAAGATGCTCCGACGAAGGCCTTCAAATGCTTCTGAGAAAGAGCAAGTGCAGAAGAAGAAGGTGAGTTTTTTGTTTTTGTTTGTTTGTTTAATTTTAGCAAAATTTTTTGTTTGTTTGTTTATTTGTTTAATTTTAGCAAACAAACTGGGCAACTCTGAAACTTAAAGTGATATTTGAGATTTCTAGATCATTCTTTTAGATTTAAAAAAAAACTTGAGATTTCTAGATCATTCTTTTAGATCTTAAAAAAAAAACAAAATTGGTTTTGTCTTTCTTTAACATATTGCTCAAACGAGCAGCTGTGGATGATCTTTACTGCCACAGGATGTTGATGCAGATCTTTGTGGTGAAGATGAAGTTTGCATCCACTGAGACTCTGGTACTGCAGATCACCCCCTGGTTCCTGTTTCATGACAAGATGACTCATGAATCAGTTGCAGATCGAGTCACACTATGATTCTTGTTTTCCATCTACAGCAGCACATCTCTCAGTCATTTCTGTCTTATTCTGGGTATAACTCATGTATAACTCAAGGTTCAGACACTGAGTTGCTCTGCTCTGCTCTAAAGCTCATTTTTCTTCCAGATTTTTTAAATCAAAAACGAGTGGTGCAGCGCATTTACAAATAATTGAGGGACTCAATTATGTAACTGTTTACCATATTTTCCAAACTATAAGTCACAGCACTTTTCATCTTTTGGCTTTACATGTTTCACGTTTGTTATTTTCACACTGGCAACCGCTAGAGGGCACTCTAACTGGCTGGTGCGACTTATTTTGTCTGTAATTGATAGCAACACATATTTCCCCTACTAATATTACATTTAACTTGTATACTGCCATTGTGTCTCATGTCTTATTTTTGTATATGTTTTTATTTTCATACTTTAAATGATATATAAACCAATAATCTCCCCTTTTTAAAATGTTTTTTTCACCAAATTTAATATCTTTTCCACAACAATAACCATGGTAGATAAAATATGGGTATCTTTTATTATTCAATGAAAAGGCTGTCTGTAAAATTGATAACTGATTATTTAGAAAAGTGATCGGTAGACGTCTTTAGACCAGGGGTGACTTTACCCTGATATGCACTACATTCTGGAATCTTGTTGGTAAATTTGGATTAATAAAACGGAACATATGAAGGGTGTCTCTGATGATTGATAAAAGCTGCCCACTGCTCCCCTTGGTGATGGGTTAAAAGCAGAGGCTCAGTTTTGTTGTATCCTCGTGGTACAATGACAATACAGACCATAAAATAAAATATATAAATAATAACTGAACATTCCCTCTGAAATGAACAGTGAACACCTAGTGGCATGGTAGTACATGTATATACACAGTATATATAAAAAAATTAGCGTGATAGCATTTGTTTACGAGACTGTTAGCCCCATGAGTTTTATCTGTGTCAGATTCTAAAGATATACTGGAAATGCTTTTTTTTCTTTCTTTTTTACTTTCATTTTTTGTTTTGTTTCATTTCTTGTAAAATTGCTGATGTTCTTTTACAGCTGACTCTGCAGAGATCGAGCAGCTTCAAGGACTTCATGAAACCCAAAATAGCATCTCCTGTGATGACAGACAAGGAGGTGACGCTGGAAGAAAATGTAAGAAATTCTATCTTCGTTTTTTTAAATTTTTATTTTATTCGTAAAACGAGAACCTGAAAACGTGCATATTTTTATCTGTACAAACCACTGTATGAGTTGCTGCCACCTAGTGACTGGAGGCTTGTTATCATTCAAGCATTACAGCAGTGGTACACTTATGTCCAGCATGCCATATTCCATCCTCAAGCGGCAACCCCCGGCCCCCCCGGCCCACTGGACCTGCCCCACTATTTGAGAAGTACTGCTTTAGTGACTAAAAGTTATTCATGTCCCTCACCAAGTGTGTTATCAGTTTAGTCTAACGTCTGGATGTGTGTATATGTAAATGGTTTCCTATCAACGCTTCGTTTTCTCTATGTGGAAGTCAAGCTGAACAAATACATCAAAAAACAGAGAGGAAGTCAGAACGGGAAGTTCGTCAGAGCAGATGATGGAGACGACCAGACAGGAAGTGACAGGAAGTAAAATAGAGTCTCATTCTGCTTTGAATGATTCAGACCCCACACCTGACTGACTTTCAGACCTAAGCAGAACCTAACTCCGTTGACAGCAGTTTTTCTGGTGTATTCTATATAGTTCGGTTATGAGAAACGAGTTCTGTACACACACAAGCACACATTGGCAGGAGCATCTGTCACACAGACCACAACACCTCCTGTATGGCTGGGTACATTTGTACATGTGTTTATCGCACATCACACCCTGATTATAAACACACAGTAATCTCTCTTTACTGTGCTGTGAGTTACAGGCGCAGGAACGCAAATGTGAAAAAAGGTCAACTCTCAGTGTATTATACATTTAAACATCTTAATTGATTATTCCAAAAATATATAAAATAATATAAATATTTTTTGAGCTGAAAGGCAGAGAAAAACAACACAAAAAAGATGAAAACGGTATCTTTGGTTGTGGAGCAGAGAACCACACACAGTGCTGCAAAGACAGTCAGGATGTTGAGTGTGGGTTGTGTGTGTGTCTGTCTGTCTGTGGGTTTGAACTGTTTTTTTTGTCAGATCTAAACCTCATCTCCGAAGAAGTCTCTTGGGTTTCTTTTTTTGTTGTTGTTGTCACTCTTGCTGTATGGATGTGCTACCAACTCTAATTCACCCTGTTAGATGTGAAATTCAAATACTGCTGATAAAGATTTTAAAAAATATATATAAAAATATATATATTTACTAATACCAATGACAGTAGTGTGAGGTCTGGATCAAATCTGAAGTTACTTCACAAGAGCTGGTGACCAAAGTGACTTAAAACATATTAGCCAGACTGACTTTATATGGAAATAGTGTTGAACAGTGCTTTAAAAAGTTTTCTTTTTTAAATTGAAATATATCTATATATACATATATATTATCCACTGTTTAACACTATTTCCATATAAAACCAGTATACATTACATTTACGCATTTAGCAGACGCTTTTATCCAAAGCAACTTACAAGAGGAGGACAATCAGGCACTAAGTATGTGCGGTCCCACCACAGAGGCATGTCCAAATATGAATATTGATCCTTTCAATCCATTATGAGTGGGTGTTAAACTTCAGTGTGGAAACACAATAAGTGCGATTAACCATAGGATTAAAAACAGTGACCATACAGACAACGGTTCCGCAGATAATACAATCAGTCGTATTTGCAAATTGTTGTTGTGTATGTAACAACATATACAGTGTTCCCTCTCTATATCGCAGTTCTCCTTCCGCTCCCTCAGTACATCGCAGATGTTTTTTTAATCCATTCTCACGAAATATAGCAAAAAATAATTATACATACGAAAGTTTTGGCTGGTAGCTTTGTTTACCTGGACGAGATCAAGATCATAAACATATCATGATCACACACACACACATATATATACATTTATATATATATATATATATATATACATTTTTATTTATATATATTTATTTATATATATATTATATATATTATATATATATATAGTATTATATAATATAATCTCAGGAAGAAAATATATTTTTCTACTAATTGAAAAGCCTTCTATAAAGGCCATACTGGTCACTTTATTTGGTACATATGATTTTAGAACAGAGGCCATTGAGTTTATGAGAGGCCATGTGTGAAAATTGTAGAAAAAAAAAAAAGTTTTGTTTTTCTTTAAACCTCAACTCAGGCTGCAGAAACAGCAGCAGCAGAGGAAGTGGTGAAAGGTGGCATCAAACTGAGCAAGAAGTGGAGAAACGTCATCTCCAGAACAATGACCCGCAAAACATCCAAGATGGTGCAGAAGGCTCTGGCTGAAGAGGGGGTAAAAAAAAAAACCACACACACGCACACACACACCGAACAGTATGATTACACAATCAGACAATGTTCATACACCCACAGCATTTTTAATATGTTTAGTATATATAAACACAAAATAAACAAAATAGAATGTGTTTCATTTGTGTGATATGGGGATTTTGACTCCATATTTACACAAGGGTGAGGACAAACACAGGAATTTAAGCCTTACATATAAATATCCTGTACAACCAACAACTGAAAGAAACCCAAATCAAGCGAGTGTAACCACCAGAGGGCACTGTAGGCTTATGTACCAGTATCTGCTGCTCCTGTACCACTGAAAATGTACCTGTTATTTTCAGAGTGACAGCCGCTAGAGGGCACTGTTGCTGGCTGGTGCAACTTAAAAAAAACAATTATGATTTGCTGTTTCATTAGGTATATTCTTTAGCTAACGTTTTTTTTGTTGTTGTTTTTGTCGCTTGCATCTTTAAAGTTATTGACAAATAGATATAGATATTGACACATATTTAAACATACATATTGAATTTCTTACTCTCAATTTAAATACAATTTGACTGTAACTTCTGCCGATTTCTGAGCCACGAATCTCCTGCTGTGTCTGTCTTTCCAGTTGGACGACGCCGAGGACATGTCACCTGTCTCTCCAGATTTTCTTCCAGACCTGAGTTTAGGACAAAGAAACTCAGTCTGTTCCACGGGGTCCGAGGAAACTGTCTCCAGTCCTATCTACAGGCAGTTGTCAGGAAGTAAAGACATTGCACCGTGTCCTCTGTCCTCTATACCAAAATACCTGTCCTACTTACCATTTTCTTATTTACCATCACTCCTTCTAACAAACCTGTTCCCCGTCCTCTCCTCCTCAGGCAGTGATAGACAGAGTCTGGACAGTGGTTTCAGTCAGCGGGACAGTATGAGACTTGAGGACAACAGTCTGTCCTACACCGGGCCCTTCTGTGGACGAGCTCTGGTCCACACTGACTTCACCCCCAGTCCCTATGACATGGACTCGCTGAAGCTGCAGGTGAGTTCTCATCATCAGACAGCAGAGCTGCTCCTTCCTCTGCCTCTTCATCGTTCATATGATTTTTTTTTTCCCCCCCGCGACTTCTTGTCTCTGACAGAAGGGAGACGTCATCTACATCATTGAAAAGCCTCCCGTGGGGACGTGGACAGGAAAACTTAACAATAAAGTGGGTTCCTTCAAGTTCATCTACGTCAACCTCCTCCCAGATGAAAGTCCTCCAACCAGGAGGAAGCGTTGCAGCAGGAAGTCCAAACCCAAGACCCTGGAAGAGGTTCTGGACAGCATTGGACTGATGGTGAGTCTGCCATGAGAGAGAGAGAGGAACGGACGAACAGTGGGGGACATAGAAGGAAGAGAAAGATAACTCAGTTATCCACGTCAGAGTCTCTTGAGCAGTGTCCCTGAATCATCTTTGGCCATAACCCCCCTCCCGACCTCCAGTAGAGGACAGAAGTTTTTCACGACCCTCCCAAATGAAATACTATTGAGCGGTGAGAGGTGATATTTATTTATCTGTACAAACCACTGTATGAGTATGAATAGATTAATAAAGCCTGCTCTGCTGCTATCTAGTGACCGGAAGCTTGTTTATCGTTCAAGAATGAATAAAGACAGTATACTGGAAGTCCCCTCTCTCACCACTTGTGACACCTCACCGGGGCGCGACCCCACTATTTGGGAAGCAGCGCTCTAAGGAAAGGTTAAAATAGTTGTTCTCACCATTACAGATTTTTTTTTAATTTCACTTAGAGCGGGGGTGTCAAACTCATTTTCACATCGGCAGCGGAGCGGGAGGCCACATCAGCAATACAATCCATAACATGTTAATCCATGTTTCTGCAATTGATTATTATTTATTCAAGTTACAAATATTGGCCTCTGGGCCTTATACTTGTCCTTGTACAAAGGGGAAAAACATGGAGGTAAAATGACTTTTTTTTTAGGAAACACAGCAAAACATTTACTTTAGCTTTGCCTCCTAACTGCATTCATGTTGTTCTTTTATTTTCAGGAGCTGAGCTCTCTTCTGTCCATGCATGGGTTCCAGAGTCTGGAGGACTTCACGGGACTAAAAGAGTCTCACCTGAACGAGCTGAACATCACTGATTCAGAGCAGCGCACCAAGATCCTGAGTGCCACAGAACTGTTCCAAGACTGTAGGTCCACACTCTGGAACACCTATTGAGAAAATTAATTAATTAATTAAAAAGCAAGACTGTAGGTCCACACTCTGGAACATCTATTGTGAAAAAAAAAAATTAAAAATAACTGTTTGATCATTTCTTTCTTCCTGTGCAGCTGAAGAAGAGTCAGATGATCCCCACGAGGACCAGGAGCAGGTAAGATCCGGAGAACCGGCCAAAGAACCGAGAGATTCGGGTTGTTTCGAGAGCGGTGAGAACGTGGATAATGGATGCGTGGAGAAGAGGGCGGAGGAGGCTGATGAAGCCTCCGAGGAGCAGACTGAGAAAAAACAAGAACAAAAGGACCGTGAGGATGAGACAGGAGGGGAGAAGAAGGAGGACGAGACCACAGATCGGCTGCAGGTTGTCGAGGAACATCTGCGGGAGCTGAGTTTGGAAGATGGAGGACATTGAAGAGATGAAAGAAGAAGCGGAATCATGTTCTACGTTGGACTCTTGATGGAAATTGGATTCTCTTGTGAACACAGACTAGAGTGATGATGACACCAGATGATTGTCTTTTTATGTATAAATATTTGGATCACTTGACTGACTTGACTGTTCCCTGCATGGTTGCCAGAGCGGATCATCTGCCTCCATCTCACCCTATCCACTGCTTTGACACCAACGATCTCTATGTCCTCTTTAATAATAATCTAATCGGGGGTCTTCCTACTTCTCCTCCTGCCTGGCAACATGGCTAGATCTTTGTCATTTCTGAAATTTTCTCTTAAATATTTTTATTCCTCTACGTCCTTTCCAAGCTTTCTTGTTTTAGTGCAAGGGAGAAATGTTGGTGCATTCCAGTTGTTAACGTTCCAAGCTTTCTTGTTTTAGTGCAAGGAAGAAATGTTGGTGCATTCCAGTTGTGCTTAGCTTTGTTCCAGCAGGTGGCACTCTTACCAGGTACCTGGCATTTACTGTACAATGAAGTGGACTAATACATTTTAATTGGCGGTTATTCCAGGATTTTATCCCTGAGCCAATATTTTTATTTTATTTTATTTGTGTTTGTGTATTTTCTCTCCTTCCAGGATCAATGGTTTTCCAGTCTTTTATCGTGTATTTATAAATATAAAAGTGAATCCTAAAGGTGTTTCTCATCTCTTTGTTATAAAATATCCTTAATGTCTTTCCCACTCACTTTAGTCGTGTTCTTGTACTTTTTGTACTGTGTTTTTCTCATGTTTTTATGTAGTCTTTATGATTCGATGTGTTTCATTTGAAATATTATTTGGTTTCTCTGACCCTGTAAAAATGCTGTAAGTAGAATTTAATTAAAACAAAATGACAATGTTGTTGTCCGTTATTGCTATTTAAATTATTGGTTACATGTTTATGGAATTCCACTTCCACAGAGAATTGTTCCTGCTCGTACAATAAACTGCAGAGAAAAGTCAGCAGTGGAGGCGGACAGTACTATACCTCACCTCAAGGGTCGTACGTGAGCTGAGAGGTGCTTTGGAGCTGCATTGGTGACGTCAACAGAGGCAATGGAAAGTTAGCCGTCAAGCTAAAGCCAGTAAGTCAAGAACAGCGTTTTTTGTGTGTGTTCTACCTGGTCCGACTCACTAAGGACGATTGTATTTCAAGACTTCTTCTCAAAACTGGACTTCCGCTCCAAACAGAAGGTGATAAATGACGAAAGACCAACGCCGGAGCTAAAAGGTTAGCTTCAAACGGCTAGCTTCAAGTGGTGGAAACAACGGAGGCTAAACATTAGCATACACAATGCTAACGTGAGAGAAAACCGAGAGATTTTAAAACACCTTATTAACGCAACCTGTTTCCTAGCCAAACAGGAGCTATTTGGAGGAACTGTACATCTCGCCATCAGTCAGAAAATGGATGCCAATCCCCTGGACAGCTTCTCAGCTTTTTGGACCAGAAGGATGTAATCCAGACTGTTCCAGAGGAGACAAAGTTACTCCAGTTGGCTCTAACTCTAACCAGCTACAACAACATCACTGGACAGGTAAGTTTCTGCATTTAAAAAGTTTATTTAAAAGTACAGTAGGAACTGAATTGTGAGAGTGAGTTGATGTTCCTTATGACGTGGGGTATAGCGAGTTCGAGCTTTCAGTCGCTCTGCTCCCCATCTTTGTTTATGAGACGGGCAGAGGGGACAGTCGGGTGAATGGAGGAGGGACTACCTGAGGGAGCGAGAGGTTATGGATGGCTTTGAATGTGAGCAGAAGGATTTGTAATTGATGCGGGACTTGACCGGGAGCCAGTGACGCTGTTGCAGGACAGCAGTGATGTGGTGGATGGAAGAGGTTCTGGGTAACGATGTGGACGGCTGAGTTCTGGACCAGTTGGAGCTTATGGAGAGATTTGTGGGATTTGTGTCCAAAATGTGACATTATTATTATTATTATTATCATTGTCTTATTTTTTATGGCAGCGCCATAACAATGTCAATATGGTTGATATCATTTTCAAAAGTATTTATTAACAAACGCACACATAAATACCGGGATGGCAGCAGGGGTTGTTGTTTATAAACGCTCTGAAAAGAACCATATAAATGTTGTTTATGCTAGAAGTAACTTGAGCAGATTTTTAAAAAATGTTAAATGCTAGAAGTAACTTGAGCAGATTTTTTTTTTAAATGTTCCTTTTTAATGAAATTTTATGAAATCCTTTTTAAGTCACTGACATGTATGTGGACAACATGATGTCATGTTTCAGTCCCTTCCATCCGATGAGACCATTACCAATCAGCCAAAGTGCTGTCCCCTTGCTGAACCTCTTAATTCCCATAACTACCCTGTTGCTCCTGACCTCCCACCTTGCCATTATCTGCCCAGCGACACCTACCGCCAACACATTTAGTGTGTGGAGACTGATATGAATTAAAGTGAGGTCCCATGCCATGTCAGACCCCCTTATATGAACGTATATTTTGATTTAAGCCCCCCTGCCACCACACACACACACACACTTACAAACGATAAAAAACTATAAAATCATATACATGTTGTCATGTGTTAAGTGCTAGGCTGTAATGATCTATTTCCAATGCCAAGCAGTTAATAGCCGTAATAGCATGTCAACACCTGCATAGCAAACGATAAAGGTAAGCGTTGGGTGAAAACCTCTGCTCAGCCTGTTCCCAAAGTAGGGGGCGCCCCTCCGAGAGGGGGTGCAGTGCCATTTAAGTGGGGGCATGGATGGAATGATTGAATGAAACATACATACTTTTATATTATATACAGTACATTTACATTTAGCAGACACTTTATCCAAAGTGACTAACAGAGGAGGATTAACCTTATCAAGCATGTGGTTCCTCCGTGAATCGAACCCAGGTTTACGAACAGAGTTAAGGAACAAATTGAGTTTGAAAACCGAGGTCCCACTGTTTTTTAATATATAAGTCACACCTGAGTATATATATAAGTTGCAAACCCAGCCAAAGGATGATAAAAAGCGAGCCCTATAGTCCGGTATGTGGTGTGTGTGTCTTGTTTTTCTTTTTTTGGGTGAGGGGGGCGTGTACATTTTCTTATGAGTGTCCAGCAGAGAAAGTTGAGAAATTCACTGTCTTACAGTGCTGATACATATATACAGCTGCCTTCTATGAACTAAGATGGATCTAGATGATGATTTTAATATAACTGACTTTGCTCGGAAATTTCCCTTTACTTCCTTCACTTTGCGGTTTATGCAGCAGACATGAAACGTACAGAAAATGCTGTAGTCGGGTGAAGAACAAGAGTGGAGTAGAGCAGACATGGGCAAACTAAGGCCTGGGGTCTAGGTGCGGCCCGTTCATGTTTGAGCACCCGCCAAACTTTTCTAAATTATTATTATTATTATTATTATTTATATAATCTATATACTTATTAAACTGCCTTTTCCCTGCAATACCCTCTTTTCTCCAATAGATAGCGTAGAAAATGCTAAAAGTAGAAAAAAACTAGAATAAGAACACTAAATATTGTTGACCCTTATCTTTCATCAATTATGGAGTTGTTATTAGAAATATTTCTTTTAAAAATGACAAATGTATTTTACATTAAAATCTATCGCGTTACGTTAAAAAAAGTCTAATAATCAAGTCTGTGTTATTGTCTCTGGTAATAATTATTTAGTATGTTTAATTTTGAAGTACTCATTCAATGAAGCTTAGGTTGCTTTAAATAGACTGTAGTAATTCATTTATACTTCTTTAGAATGAAGTATAGTTTTAAAAATATCCTGTTGTTTAAATGTGTAACTGTTTAAATAATAGAAAAAAAAATACAATGTTCTCTTTCTACCCCCCAAATATTTGAATACTGATTTAAATCATAATTAAATCAATCACCAGAATGAAATCATTGTTTACCACCTTTACATGTGGTTTCTTTAAAACTGCTTCATCCACTGAAGGCCAAAAACAGAACGAAACAAAGAGCAGTAAAAGTCTTAAGTAAATTGCATAAACAAATCACATTAGTGTAGTGGGGTCTGCTGAGGTGGGTCACATCTGTTTGATGGTCTTTGACTGTGGGCTGCCTACATGTGTTGGTCACGTTTACATTAAAATACATTCGTTATTAGGGAACGAAACAAAAAAGGAAACATTATTACTTGTTGAAATATGAAAGGACAATTGCAATGAATTTCGTAGGAAAAATAAAGTACATGTTTTTGTAGTAACCTTGTCGACCATGCACTGATTGTAACACTAGATCATGCGCATTTAAACTAAATTTACTTTTCCTACTTCAGTGAATAATAAAAATTAAAAATAAAAAGACTATGTTGCTCGACGTTATATATAATGCATGAAATACAATACAGTGACAATTGACTGATTTAGCGTTACATGTATATATTATATATATTTATAATACATATATATTATATATGTGTATATACGTATATATCTATATGTATATGTGTATATGTATATGTGTATATATGTATGTGTATATATGTGTATATACATATATATATGTGTGTGTGTATATATATATATACAGTATATATATATGAGTACTACCATGTGTCTACCGCAATACACTATAACACGGTTTAACTCCTGGTGTTCATGATCATACTTTTAAGAAGCTGTCTCGAGTATAGTCTGCAACACATTTCTTTGCACCGCTTGATCTGTTTTCAGCTGCTTGCTGTTCATTTATTGTTCAGTCTCCTTATTAAATCTGTCCTTCTTGCACTCACTGTCTGTCTCTGCAATGCTCTCTCTCTTTATCTCTCTGCCTCTCTCTCTCTCTCTCTCTCTCTCTCTCTGACTTTCTATCGTCCCTGCTGGGAATTGTAATGAGATAACACGGGCGATCAACACAACAATTAGGTTAACACAGATTTGCATCTCTCTCTCTGTCTCTCTCTGTTTTTGTCTCTCTCTCTCTCCTTGGTTAGGTACTACCCGTTACTGTCAAGCTTATCTTACTCTAATTGGCAGTGATTTCAGCGTATCTTTTTCCATGAGGGAGGGGCATACGATGGGCTGACGCTCTCTGATTGGTCACTCAAAATATTTAATATTTCTTTGATGTTTTCCTTGTGTGTCTTAAAACATGTTTTAAAATTAGTGCGTAATTGTCAGTGCACTGATATACATGAGCTACATACACTGAGAGATTAACATAGTCATAGGAATGGCTCATAGGAGGATGGTGATTGGTCAACATTTGGAAACCTGGGACAGAGAAGATAGGGCGATTTTGGGCGTAGCGGAGGACGCGCTTGACTCGTGAAGCGTTCCCCCGTTTTTGATGGTTCCATAGTGCAACGGTTAGCACGCCTGACATGGAAGCAAAAAGGAGATAGTGCAGGGTTCAATTACCAGAGCGACCATATAGGAATATTTCTGATAGAAAAAGTGTTGAGTGAAGAGTATACAATAGTATCATCTGTGTTCAGAGTAAATGAAAATATATTAGCAGGATGAAATATTTTGGAACACACTTTTTAGGTATGCCAATATTGTCCAAACACATGATGACCAAGTGGCGTGTATATATGTGTACATATATATTCATATACATATGTGTATATATTTGTACACATATGCATATGAATACATATATACATATACATACGTGTATATATGCTTAGATGTATATAAATATATATCTATGTGTAAATATTTGTATGCACTAATACATTTTGTAATAATATAACCTTTATCATTTGCGTCCTCAAGGGGTTGCTAACAGGACACCGGATTGTTTTTAGACCTTTGTTAATTTATTTATTATTATTGATATTTTATTATGAGCTGTAATGCATTTTGCGGGTCTCAGTCATTTTCATTTCATTGCTTTTGATGTGGTTGTA